GTTGGAATAAAGCTTTATGGACCTCCATTTGCTGAGGTGGCATGACTCAAAATAGGAAGAAACAGCTGAAAACATCCATTAATAATTGGAACATGGAATGTACAAAGTGTGAAGGAAAATCGGGAGTTGTCAAAAATGAAATGGAATGCATAAAGATCGGTATCTTAGGCATTAGTGTGCTGAAATGGACTACTACTGACCATTTGGAATCAGACAATCATATGATCTACTATACTAGGAATGACAAATTGAAGAGGAATGGTGTCACAATCATCATCAAAAAGAATGTTTCAAGATCCATCCTGAAGTACAGTGCTGTCAGTGATAGGGTGATATCCATACGCCTACAAGGAAGATCAATTAATACTGCTATTATTTAAATTTACACACCAACCACTAAAGCCAAAGATGAAGTAATGGAAGATTTTTCCCAACTTTTGTTTGGTCTGAAATTGACCAAACATGGAATCAAGATGTGTTGATTATCGCTGGTGATTGGAATGTAAAAGCTGGAAACCAAGAAGGATCATTGGGAGTTGGAAAATATGGCCTTGGTGATAGAAATGATGCTGGAGATGGCATGATAGAATTTTGCAATGACTTTTTCATTACAAATATCTTTTTTAAACAACATAAATGGTAGCTATATATGTGGACCCTGTCAGACAGAAAACACAGAAATCAGATTGACCAAATCTGTGGAAAGAGGCAATGGAGAAGCTCAGTATCTTCAGCCAAAACAAGGCCAGAAGCTGACTGTGGAACAGACCATCAATTTCTCATATGCAAGTTCAAGTGGAAGCTGAAAAAAATTAAAACAAGTCCATGAGAGCCAAAGTATGATCTTGATTATGTCCCACCTGAATTTAGAGATCATCTGAAGAACAGATTTGACACACTGAACACCAATGACCGAAAACCAGATGAATTGTGGGATGACATCAAGAATATCATACATGAAGAAAGCATAAGGTCATTAAAAAGACAGGAAAGGAAGAAAAGACCAAAATAGATGTCAGAAGAGACTCTGAAACTGGCTCTTGAACAAAATGTAGCAAATGGAAGAAATGACAAGACAAAAGAGCTGAACAGAAGATTTCAAAGAGCAGCTCAAGAAGATAAAGTCAATTATTATAATGAAATGTGCAAAGAACAGGAGTTACAAAATCAAAAGGGAAGAACACATGGCATTTCTCAAGCTGAGAGAACTGAAGAAAAAAATTCAAACCTCAAGTTGCAATATTGAAAGATTCTATGGGAAAAATATTGAATGATGCAGGAAGCATCAAAAGAAGATGGAAGGAATACATAGAGTCACTGTACCAAAAAGAATGGTCAATGTTCAGGTATTTCAGGAGGGGGCAAATGATCAAGAACCAATGGTACTGAAGGAAGAAGTCAAAGCTGTACTGAAGGAACTGGTGAAAAACAAGGCTCCAGGAATTGATGGAACACCATTGAGATGTTCCAACAAATAGATGCCACGCTGGAGGCACTTACTTGTCTATACCAAGTAATTTAGAAGACAGCTACCTGGCCAACTGACTGGAAGAGATCCATATTTGTACCCATTCCAAGGGAAGGTGATCCAAAAAGATGTGGAATTTATCAAGAATGTGGAAATTATCAAACAATATCATTACCATCACACACAAGTAAAATTTTGGGGAGGATAATTTAAAAATTGTTGCAGAAATATCTTGACAGAGAACTTCCAGAAATGCAAGCTGGATTCAGAAGAGGTCATGGAATGAGGGACATCATTGCTGATGTCAGATGGATCTTGGCTGAAAGCAAAGAATACCAGAAAAATGTTTACTTGTGTTTCATTGACTATGCAAAAACATTAGACTGTGTGGATCATAGTAAATTATGGTTAACTTTGAGTGACTGGGAATTCCAGAACACTTAGTTGTGGTCATGAGGAACCTGTACATAGACCAAATGGGTGTTGTTTGAACAGAACAAGGGCATACCACATGGTTTAAAATCAGGAAGGGAGTTTGTCAGGGTTGTATCCTTTCACCACACTTAATCTGTATGCTGAGCAAATAATCCGAGAAGCTGGATTATATGAAGAACACAGTATTAGAATTAGAGGAAGACTCATTAACAACCTGCGATATGTGGATGACACAACCTTGTTTGCTGAAAGTGAAGATGACTTGAAGCACTTACTGATGAAGATTAAAGATTACAGACTGCAGTATGAATTTCACCTCAACATAAAGAAAAAGAAAATCCTTACAACTAGACCAATAAGCGGCATCACAACAAATGGAGAAAAAACTGAAGTTGTCAAAGATTTCATTTTACTTGGATCCACAATCAACACCCATGGAAGTGTTGTTGTTGTTATGTGCCATTGAGTTGGCCCCGACTCATAGTGACCCCTCTTTGGGTTTCTGAGGCAGTATCACTACGGAAGTAGATTGCCCCATCTTCCTTCCAAGGAGTGGCTGGTGGGTTTGAACTGCCAGCCTTCTGGTTAGCAGT